CTAGGTCTCTTCTGACCCTTAATCTATGAATCTATGAAAGTCAAAAGGTTGCAACAGATGAGTTTTTTCTAAGCTCAGTTTTATGATGCACAGTTCAAAACAATTCTGATTTCTCCATCTTTTCTCTAACTGCCTTTAAGATAGCATGCTAGTTAGCATGTTACTCCATAATCTTTTCCATTTATTCTTAATGAGTGAAAGTGTCCCATCATCAGCAAAAGGGGAATATGAGTCAGTATAAAGCTTTCTTTTGATTTCTTTATATCTACTTACTGAATAGCTTCTGCAAATCCATCTGTACGATGTGGTACCACAAGCGTTGGAGTACTTGGGACTGTCCTATCCTCATCATCAAAGAAGTGTTGCTGCTGGGAAAAGAAAAAAAATGAGATCAGGAGACTATGCTTACTTTTGAATATGATTCATCTTCAAAGGCTGATGCTTCCCAACAAAGACAAACCAAGTGTAAACAACATTCGTTTTTCCAGTGTGAATGACATGACTGCAAAATAAGAAACAGGACACAAAGGTGTATATATTTTAGAAGAGAGATTCCTAAACATGATAATTAATAACCACTGGTTCTTAAGTAAAAAAAAATGCAGAAAAAAAACTTTTAACATACCTTACCTAGTATTTTCTTTGGGAATAGGGAAATGTATGGAATTGCTTTTAATAAAAACTTCTGACTGATTAATGCTAAGAAATATATCTGCAGGGTAACCCAAAGAATTTTTTATTGATAAAAGCCCACTTTGCTGTCATGCGAAATCATTAGGAACAGATCTCTATTACTTACCATACCCCCTATGCCAGGAGTCAGTTGTAGTCCACGTCCCACAGACTGTCTCCTAGTCATCTGGATTCTCTTTATGGTAATAGAGTACAAATAAAGGAATAAGGGGGGGTTTCAGGATTTTAGCAACATGTAATTACATTAAAAAACATTATAAGTTAGATAAAAATTTTTCTTGGCTTTCTATCCAAAACACAAACTTCAATAAAGCTACCTTGATTTTCCTGTTTACAAAGGAAAGCCATATTTCACACATTCCACTGGGCAGTTACTTACTACATGTCTACATATTCCCATACTCCCCATTTCAGTAGGGCTTTTTGGTGCTTTTATCTAAAGCGGATTCAATCAGTTATTAGATAAAAGTGCCTGATCTATACAGATTTTGGGCAAGCCACGTCAAACTAACATGATGCCTCTTCTGGGCATGTACTATGCTTGGTGTGGGGGCGCACCAAGCTGAAAAGAAAGCACTGTTTTGTTTAGTTTTATTCATGCCTGTAAGCAGCCCTGATGGTAAAAAGAAGCAATAACACTATGGAGAAACTGTTCAACATTAAAGAGGACATGGGGAATTCAACTAAATCCTTTTCACAGGGTTCTACTTTTCTGCACGTACTATCTGAACAAATGAACTCCTCCTGATCTGCTGTTTGTGCCTTTTACTCAGTTCTTTAACATACAACAGAGGAAAAGCAGGTGGCAAGAGAAGCTGCAGAGAGGCAATGATAAAGAAGTACATATTAATTCTTGCTTAGCAGCAATGTATCTTTCAGAATAGAAAAGGAAAACCAGTTTTCCCTCTTCTGACTAGCCTCAGCTATCCTCTTTCTCTAGCCAGTAGAGCTGGAGGGGAAACATGCATAGAAAATTAAGGAAAAATTGTGCAATGCCGCAGGGCTCACTACACTTTAAGATCTGCTCATAGCAAAAGTTACCACCCCATACCGCAGGCCAAATCACAGAAAACAATTAGCTGATTTCTGACAAAATGAGTAGTGCCAGAAAAAGTAATACTGACACTCAGCCCATCTTTAGGGTTCAGATATAATACGCAAGGGTGATAATTTAGAACAGTCCACACCTTTTGGAAGACCCAATATAAAAAAAGTCACATTTGGGTGGTTTTACAAGATTAAAATTACTCCCTTTTCAAAGGAATTTAAACTTTCAAAGGAAAATTTAAATTCTATATAATGTTAAAATATGATATGGTCTCCATCAAGTATGCCAGATACAGCTGACGGACGCATAAGGCACAAGTTCTAAAAGTGCTAAGTGAGGGGAAAAAAAACAGTTGCAGCTGACTTTCGCCACATCTGCATCTGAAAAAAGAGTGTTTAATAGAAATTCCAGCCAATCCAGCTGAGTTGCAGCCTTTTCAAACACTGTTTTTATGGTGGAAATATTGACACTCATCTACTAAAACAGCACTGGTATAATAATTTCAAGATACACACCCATTACTATTGCCTTAGTTCTTTTAATGTTCATTTACTTACCCGTTCTGCCAGAGAAAATTGCTGCCACATTTTAAGGGACGAGACATTACATTTGGTCAGCTGTTTTTATTAATATCTGTAAGTTTCCATCTTGCACGATGCCAAATGAAATAATATGATCTTGCAAAATAGAGGGCTAAGATGCTATGTAGAAAACAGCCATATAATTAAAACAGTTGTTTACATTTTGAGGCATTGAACAATTTTCTACCTGTACTGGAGGTCCTAGCTCTTGGGGCGGAGCATGAATAGTTAAGCGTGGAGGTAGTGTGTGTGAAGGTCTGCGTGGCGACTGTGGTGGTCGAGGGGCCTGCCTCTCAGAGGCAGATGTTGGTTGCTGTTCTCTTGAACTTTCATGGGAGAAAGTGGACTCTGCAGCACTTGTACTCCCTTCTCCTAAAATACATGAAAGGATCAAAACAAAACCATGCATACCGATATGAAACCAGACCAATTTATGTAATTCTACATGCATGTCATATAAACAATGTAGAACCAATGACATGAGTGATAAACTTTTAAAAAAAGTTAGTTATCACAGTATTTTACAAACCATATGGATCATTTCACCCATCACCAGAATGG